CAAAATACGCCGAAATATTAGCCCAGCTAATGGACTTTTCTCTGGCAACGATTTTTCAGACGTCCGAAATTCCGTATGGGACACGTATCTCCTACCTCTCCTTGGTGCCCCTGCAGGGATGGGGCGATAATTTTTTGATTTTTACATTTGTATGATATGTATATCCCAAAGCTAAAAAAAATAACTAAAACCGAGATTTCTCTGCTGGTTGCTTTCCGGATCGAAAGGGTTAAAATAGTTTGAAGGCAACCTAAAAACAGTGAAATTTGCGGCGAAATCGGAAAGATCTGAACAGCCTGTGTTGCAAAGCAGTTTTATCTGCAGTCAGTGCCTGCCCCCTTGTAGTTCGGCCATAGAATTGGGTTCCCGAGAGAGACAATATTGCTTAAGATAAACTGCTCAACTGCTATCCGGATGATGCAGTAGGCTTTACGCGTAGAGGGCTGAAACCATTGAATATTGAGCGTGCATTACATTAATATTTGATGATTCCGAATATCGTATGCCTTCTTTTTCTTTCATTGTATACAAGAGATTTTCAATTAGCCGCCTTTATTATTATTAAAAATGTTTTTAAATTAATTTCCTACACATTGACAAACCCACATAAATACATTCACAAATTTGGTTTGAGACCTTTTCGTATTCCTTTTTTTTTGTATTTTTTTTATATTTGCGGCACCACATCGTCTTGTCTAGAGTGCCGCAATTCTTCAGGTATACACGCGAGCTGTTCAAGACAATGAACTCATTGACCTGGGAATATTAAAGAGGCCAAAGTTAAAAGAGTAGCCATGAATAATGCCACATAAAAGAGAGAATGGCAGACAATGTGCATGAGAATAGGGCTCAGTTCTTTGTAAGCGAGGAGAGTAACAAAATGATGCACTTATGTGCATATGTTCATAAGAACTTGTATTTAAGTCGACACTGTCATCACTCCTGTAGCACAGCATGAGATGGGACTCAAGATTGCGTGTCAAATGAAAATTGATAATTGTGAAAACAGCTGTTAAAAATTTGGATTAAAAAAAAGAACATATTTATGCCTGCTATGTTTTATCAATGAATGCAAGAGACGTTCCCACGACAGTGGGGCCTACGTAACTGGAATGACCCAGATTTATATCTGGCCAAGGACTTTTACTCCAGCATCACCCCTAAAAACTCTGGGGAATTTGTGTGCTGTTATATATATCAGCGAGTCCGATATTAAAAAAAGTCGCCAATGGTCTTTAAGTTTTGCGAAGTTATGTTAAGTATTCAAACCACGTGCTGGTAAGTTCTTCATATCGCCGCCTAATCACGCCTGAAGACTAACCAACGGACAGTAGCTTTAAGTAGCACTGGAGACTGAAAACGGCGGAGTCGTTTGAGTGATATATGGCGAAAAGACGAAACAATTTCACGTCGTCAATAGTGTGAAATAGTAATAAATTTTTGATAATTAAAAACTGGACATATTCATTTCATTTAACAATTGTGGGGTGTTCTGATTTTAAAAATTGTACATAAATTTTTGGTAACATGAAAAATGGTCGATAGTAGATTCATGGACTTCTTAAAACTGAATATAAACTTTTTTTTTATTTAAAAGCGGAGCACAATATTTTGAATAGCCAAAAACTGGACCAACAATTTTTTCTATTTCAAAATTGGACATAAATTTTTGGTAATTTTTAAATTGGTTCAGCCTACCAGCTGAATTCCAAATTGAGCTGAAAATGAAGGAAGTGCAACCACGGCACTATGCGTAATTTTCTCACTTTATGTGGCCAAAAGTACTTACAAAAAAAACTTTGTGTCGTTGGTGTTGATTAAGAAAATTTCAAACCAAATAACGGTTTCTTTTATTCTTATAAAAAACTAACGACAACTGCTTAGCAGGTGGTCAAAGCCGTTGTATGTGAGTGAAATATTGGAATCAATTTTGGGTTCTGTTTTGTTTAGCTATTTTCGGACAACCATATTGAAGTTAATAAGTATTTAAAAAATTAATAAAAATATTAAAAATAAAGAGAAGTACTTTTAAGATCTAAAACTGTGGTTTTTGAATTATTATTATTTGTTTGCAGTAAAAAATACATACTGTCAGTAGTATCTTTAATTAATTATTTTTTAATCGATATTTGAATAAGCTTTTAAAATGTTTGCCGTATTTGGCCGCGTTAAGACTATAAAAAACGTGTAAAATTAAGAAATTCAAAGCTTTAAGGGTTTCAATTAAAATTATTATAATTTTACAATACTATAATAAGTGGATTTTTTTCTTTAATATAAATATTTACAAAACTGACTTCAAACATTTCCAATAAAACTACAAATAAAAAGTACCCCTTTTGACCCATCGGTCGTCATCGGTTAAGATTTTTTTGTTGCAAAAATGTGGGAAACGTATTGCAATAAATAAAAAAATCTTTTTTTTTTTTTAAATAATCTACATGTTTGGTCATACATAATTTTTGCCTTAAAAATGGGTCAAATTATCCATTGTACACCTCCGGGGTAGATTAGGTGAAGTAAGAGCTTCTAAATATGTGTATGATAAAAAAAAACATATGTATGTATATACATACATGTTTGTTTTCATGGAGAAATATTGTGAATGGTTCAGCTATATTATCGATTCCTCTACACTTTTCTCAGATTCATTAAGAAGTCAAAATAGCACTAAGAATGGATAATATTTAAAATCCCGCCATTTTTCTTCATTTTGTCATCCATAGGTTAGGTTAGGTTAGGAGGGCGTGTGTGGAAGATTCCATAATTTCATACGGACACAGTATTCTCTATTGTGAGTGCCCTCTTTAACCGAGTGTCAGGAGGAGACATGTACCCATAACCGAGAGAGTAGCTAAGTAATTTCAAGTCATTATTCTACTGAACCAATTACTATCCCTAATTAAGCCGATGAGATTCTACAGTGGCACCATCACTATCTCGCCCAGGCTGTTGAAGAAGCGTAAGGCCAAGTGCTTGAGGCGCTTCTTCTGTAGACCTGGACTTCAACACAGAATGTGGTCAATTTACTCTTCCTCATTCTCATCACGGCAGCTTCTGCAGAGAGTACTTGTTGGTATTCGCCAACGTTGAAGCATTGTTGCTATAGCACAGTGTGACGTCGGTTAGTGCACACCTATTGATTTGAGTAGGCCCCTCGTCTTTTTCCTAACAAGCCGCGACCATAGTAATCATGTTTTCTCACAGTCTTCCCGTTTGTAAGACAAGTCATCAGTCGCGGCTGTGGTGTATTCATTAATTTTCCTAACGTCGTCACTAACCGGTGGTAGTGCGGAGCTATTCGCTTCTTCTAATGGAAAGACATTTTTCAATTGCACTATTTTACATCGTATTGCCTTCAGTGCTACTTGACTGTCGCCAAAGATAGTGACTTTATCTTCTGGAACCCTACTACTAAGTAAAAAAAAAACTAGCTGCCCTATTTATAGCGTAGATCTCGGCTTGGAAGACACTACACTCGTTCGGTAGATGAAAAGTCCTTCTGGTAGAGAACGGCTTCGGTTCCTTGTTCCATCTTTGAACCATCAGTGTAGATGGATATACCTCCCTCTACTACTGGCAGTCCTGCATCCCAAACAAGCGTAATGTAATCCGTTCTGGCTACTTTAATTTCATTGAGCCGGCCCCTTTTTATTTAATTCAGTATTGCCGCATGCCCAAAATTGGTTGGTTTCCACGTATTTGCCTCTCTGAGCCTGAGGGCGCTTTTTGCGGCCATACCATGTCCCTATAGTTGGTGTTATTTGGGATCTTATTGTCTTTTACCATTGCTTTTTAAAGCTCGCACAAAAAAAGGTATGGTTTCGTGCGACAAAACAAATGCTTGCTTGTAAATTTATTCAAAAACAATCATCAATGTATTTCCTTTAGATAAAAGCTCTTTCGAGGCCTTCGAAACCCACATTCCTCCACAACAAACCAGAAAGTCAGCTTAACGCCAAGATAAGTAGAGCTAAAGTACTAACGCACTACCCTCGCAATTAGGCAGTTGACAGATCTCACAAACAATCGGGTTAATTGCGTGTTCGAGTTTATCAATTTCGAAAAACGCAAATGTAATCCATCAAATGTTGAGAACACAAATCAAATAAATTGACAAGTGCGTTAAGGGATGAACGAGTCGGACACAAATGCCAAGTAACTGATATCTTTTCAGCACTTATGCTTATCCTATAGCACTTAAATAACAGGCAGTATTGTCCGAAAAAAAAAATTCAATAAAAGCAAACAATTGCGTCACAAGTAGCGACAAAACCAAAATAATGATGGCACAACTTAGCTGATAAGATGGGAAAGTTTAAACGAATAGTACGGCATGGTCTAATTGAAACCACAAATAGAATCCGATAGGATTGTCCCCGCGTCGCAGCCAGCCTGCCCTCATTCTAACGCCCATTTAATGACAAGAATGCCAGTACGAACGCATGTCAATGAATAATAAAAAAAATGAAGAATAAAGAAACACTAAAAAGCCAGCACGATAAAAGAGACGCACTCTACTGATAACGATTTGTTATTGTTTTCTCTAACTATGCATATGTTTGTTGTTCTTTTGACAACTGCTCAGACGCCACCACATAGCCGGCTTATCAGCCACTAGAAAGAGGGGAAACAAGAATTAAAAGAAAGAAATGTGCGTGTGACCAGACTCTGTGGGTAATCAGTAGACAGAGCATTCACTAACCGCTCTTGGTATTATCCCATTGTTATACTCGCAATTTGTACAGCACTCCTGCGATGAGCGCAACTTTTTGTAGACTTACCCACATTTGTAGACTTCAACTCTCTCCCAGTCAAACAATTCCCTCGCTCAAGAGGTGAGCTCTATTCTGCGGTTAGGTTTAAAGCCTCTCACTCTCTCGAGTACTGGTTTTATTCCATTCCTACTTGCCTTTTGCCAAGCATACTTCAGTTGTTCAAAAAATACACTTGTTGGCCGCTAACTGACTGGCTGATGTCAGTAACGAAACGACCGTTAAAGCTCGAACACCGTCAGGTAACGGAAAAACGGTAGATTAATTTGATTTGTTGTCAAATGTTTTTGTGGGTGTTGCAGTGATGATCGCCGGTATATCGTTCGTTAAATAGCGATCGATGTGATCGCAACGTGTTGCCTAGTGAGCTATTTTGTGCCAGCATGTGGTGGTTTTAGCCTACACTTATGTATAATATTTCAGTTTGCGAAACAAATTTCTGTGAACAAATTCAAGAGGTTAACTCCTAATATTCTTTATTAAAAAATGCTGAAGTGAATTGAGTGCAGAGTTTGGAGTAATGAAGCGTATTGAAAAATTTTAAAACATAATTTTGAATGAAATTCAGATAAATGTATAAATAAAGAAATTCTTCATTGAAAGATCGCTGATCTTTGGTGTTAAATAACTTGAAATGAGTATTATTAAAATAATGACTGAGAGTGTATTTGGAGTAATAAACAAATTTGTATATGTAAGAGTACATTATTGAGTCCGGAGTTTGTGAAAACAAAGTATCAGAATAGACCCCATGAAGTGTTAGTAAAAATTGTCTTTTATAAAGTTTCCTGAGAAAATACTGAACTCTCAACAGAAGTGTTGAATGAAAGGTACTTGAATTGTATACCAAGAAATTCAAACAATTAAGATTAGGTACTTCAGTTTTAAACAAGGCGAACTCCCATTAAGGTATAGTAAGTCATCTTTGTGGATGATGATAAGGGAATCGAATTGTGTTTTCAGCCAAACAAAAATGTACAAAAAAAACTCATCAATAAATAAGAAAAAATTGTTGTTCAATAAGAAAAAAGCAATAAACGAACAATACAGTCTCATATACCGAGTCTCGGATAAGTGCTTCCCCGAATAACTGAACAAAAATCAACACCAAAAATCAATAATTTTAAGCAAACATTTTCCATGGCTAATAGTGTGTTTCCACGTGCAGTGAGGCTTATTCTCAATTTCAGTTGAAATTGCTTTCAATTCCTAATTTTGCTATGCAAAAAAGAGTTGAAGTTGTGTACGAGTCTTAATTTGGACGCAAATGGGAAAATTTGGTTTCAATTTCTTGCATGCGACTTAAAAATAAAATAAAAAATATAGAAATAATAACAGCTTTAAGCAAACGTTTTGTATTGCTGAGTACTAGTGTGCTTCCACGCACAACAAATTGCGCAACTTAAGGCTTATTCTCGATACCAGTTGAAATTCTGTTCAATTCCCAATTTGAGCGAAGTTGAGAAAATTTTATTTAAAAAATATTTTTAATGTGATTGATAATCCAGCAAAAATAATTCATTACTGATAAATAAGAAAAATTCAAGTAAAATATGCTTCAAAAAAAGATAAGCAGCTTTTAGGGACAGCTGTACTGCTTAGGATTTTAAACTGAAGTTTAGAATCGAAGTTGTGCAATTTGAGGATAATTATAAAATTAGTTTCTCTTCCTAACTCAATTAGTTTCTTCGGCAGCAGTTTTGTTTATTAAAACCGGACTTTGAGTTATTGCTTCCGCTGGCTTTTTGGCGCTACTCGCTTCTTCTTTCTGGCGCTACTCGCTTCACTGTTCACCGTTGAGGATGACATTTGCTATTTCTCAGAAGTTGTGCTTTGCTTGGAATTTGATGGTTTTTGTAGAGTAAGAAGGATATGCAAGGGTCCACGCAAAACCTTATGGATCGGAGACGAAGAGATATTAGCCGGTAAGCCATTTCGGCGGAGTCTAAAGCCGCTTACTAAAGTTATTGAATGATGCATTCAATAGCCCAAAACCTGATACTAATCATTGTTCCAGTCTGCTGCAACTGGAACTTTACTAGGCGTTCCCGTGCTACTAACATGACATAGTGGCTGTCCAGAAGATACCAGCTTTTTGACGAGTTTAAGTCTGAAAACAATCGAAAAAGTGTTTATGAAGAGAACGTTACCTGAATTCCTCCAAATCCTGACAATGGCAGAGGAAGTGGTTGACGCTTTCGAATTGCTGTCGGCCTTCGACAAAAGTTGTTTGTTAGAAAGGCCATTATACCTGCGTGTATTCCTTTACCATGGCTATGAGAGATTCATTTGATTAAACATTATTGGCTTCTGATCGCAGCCAAGCGACGATGAGCAATTCTTCGGGTGTATATGTCCATATTTCATTATTCCTTCTAAATACGGACAAATAGTTGATTTAGCAGCGCATGTACTCCATAAAACATTTTTTAGTCTCATTTGACAATGTGTATTCACATATTGGACGACAAATGCCATTGAATTTGACATAGTGAAAACCAGTCTTAATCTAGTACATAGAAAATATATTATCAATAAGCAAATTTCGATTTTGAGGATCATATCAAGATCACTAAAATCTGTCATAAATCAAAATGCATTGAATACGACGAATTCAGCATTTAATTTCAATTTGAGTGACTAAAGACTTCATTCAAAAATGATTTCCCTTCTCTATTTTTTGGTAATTAAAAAAAAAACCGTTCTGCAGAACATACATTAAGCAGTGAAAAAAACTAGTAAATGTTTCTTGTTTGCTTGTTGATCTTAATAATAGATATGTATTATGATTACGATCCGTGCTAATCATGCGAAGATCGGTTTTAAGCACCTTGAATCCTTTTGGGATTTTGGAGGGAAACTTTAATGTGAAAAGCAGAAAAATAGCTACGCTAGTTTTACGCTCTATTTAGTAGATTATGATACATACAAAAAGTGTATTGTTTACACTTTTCCAATGGATCTCAAATGATCTTAGCTGATCCTCTTAACTGTCTGGACTGCACACTACGTACATACATACATCAGATAACAATGAAGACACCTACTTTTTTCACTTCTTTTAAGCCATTGTGTAGCTTAGGAGAGCCAGTTTTTAATTTTATTTCGAAAAAATTCATTGGTCCTTACTTTCCGATAAGAACTCCAATTATTCTTGGCGCCTCAGCGTATCTACCGATCATTTTCAGCCTAGAGCATATTGTGTTTTCCACATAACAGCTAATTAAATACCTGTTGCTTTTGCAAACATTATTACAATGTGCCTAAGTACAAAATTATTATAATATACTTAAATGTATAAACAAGTGGTTTGCTATCTATTTATGTACATACATATATATATTTGCCAAAAACGGCGCCGTCTGTATCATTTATTTGCGATAGCACTCAAGTAAATAGAGAGCATCACCCGAGTAGGAGTAGTTCAGTGGCGCTAGCTGTTAGCGCTACCACTTTTTGCTATCTAAATATTTTCTTCATATAATTAGAAGACAATTTTGTATAATTTCGCTACTTAAAAAATTAAATAAACAATAAAATTTACCGGAAATGAATTCATACGAATTAGCTTAGCAAATCGTACGGCGCTTCTGCGTCAATGAACTCATAATGCTAATGAATTTTTAATTTGAAACACGACATATGGAAAAAACCGATCATTAAAGTCATACCTCAACGATTATTCGACATTTAGCGAGGCGGGCAATGCATTCCAGCCAATGTTATTAATACTTGCAATGTAATTAAAGATTTTTTATTAAATGCTTGACGATTGTTTACAACACAATTTTTTGCGCGATGAAAGTTTGCACTTTGTACTGGACATAAACACTGCTCGTGTGCACAGAGAGAGAGAGAGAGAGGGCGTGCGTGATCGGGGCTAAAGAGGCATTGGGGGGAAGAACAAAATAATGAAGGCGTTTATGAGCATGTTGCAAGAAGTGTACATCTGAAGAGCCGGCTTATTATGTAGTTAGAGTTGTACTGCATAATATTGGAGGAGACGAAAGACGGTATTGCATGATCAGCGATCGTCTACAAACACTTGCAACACCCTTCTGCTCCTCAAAATTCCTGTAGCTCCTTTTAATGCAGCTTTGTAATGATTCTCGGAAGCGCCTCATACAATAAAAACAAAGAACTCAACTACAGACCAAACAAGCCACTGAGCTGCAACCGGTAATGATCGCCACTGATCATAATGATTGCTGTTGATCGCACAGCCTCGCACAATCACACAGCTTTAATGTATTTTGTATGCACTTTTGTTGTTTTGCTTTCACATAATATCGGACGCATCGTTCAACTTGTATTTCTTCAAAACGAAATGATACAATAAATTCACTTCAGTACGCTTTTAATGACAGCGTAAGAAAACGATCGCACATGTGTACATATGTATGCACAAATATATTTAGTATTGCCGGCATTTGAGCAGATCCAAAAGGAAAAGCAAAGAAAATAAGTTAACTGAAAAAAAGCTTTGGAAAAGTAACGCGCGTAGCTAAACAAAGCGACACGATCATTACAACAAGATCACTGATCACCGATCGGCGATCATTGGTGGCGGCAGAGCGGCTCAGACGAAACTCAATGTTCGCTTAGTAATGCAAAGGCAAGAAAGAAGCTGAGTTGAGCCTACTCAGCCGCCTGAGTCTTGCGCATTTTGTAGTTAAGTTGTCTTGCCTGCCCGCGGCGGCGGCGGGCTACCACTGTTTGGATATTGTAGTGTCCCCAGAGACGGTGGCGGTAGTAGTCTGGTGCAATTTCGTTGTCTGCTCCACAGCGCGCTCGTCTCTATACGCGCGGAATCGAAACTTTTGCCATGGCAATGCGCGATCATTAAAGGCATTTTTCGTGGGCTTCAAATGTGTTCATACACACATACATATGTACGTACACGTACGGCAGTTAGTCAGCTATTCGATCATTTAGTTTGTCAGTTAGTTTTTTTTTTTGTATACTCCGATAATGGCCAAGTTTGTTTCCGTTGC